ACCTGTACACTCCTTTTGATATTAAAGTTCAGGATTCTTGAATTCAGTATTTCTGACTCTGTGTGATTTGAATGAATTTCCTGCTTTAGAAAACATAGGGCATAAATCATTTTCTATGAAAACGATGATCTCCTATATAAAAAACTAACCATGCAAAAATGTAATGTCGCCTGTGAGTTCTTGTTCTCTGTCACTGTCAGACCTGTAAGCAGCTGAAAGAACACAATGAATACTTCAAAGATTTATTTATAGTTAAATGAGAAACAGTCCTGTACAAACTCTTGAGGGAAAACCGATGTTAGAAAATTACTTCTATTTCCAGGAATATAAAATTGTTGTTCCAAAAGTGATAGTATTGAGTTCTATAGTAAGTGTCTTCTCCTGTAGATTATTTGAGTTCCATCTTATTCCAAATCATCAAAGTAAATCCCATGACTCATCGTATCTGATGAGTACCTTTTAAAGCTTTGCCCTTGCTGTGGTATGTTGGGTGCTTTGCTTATAAGAAAGGTTGATGCCAAAAAAAAGGTGGTTTGAAATGTTCTTAAAGTGCGTGCGTGTGTGTGTGTGTGTGTGTGTGTGTGTGTGTGTGTTAACCAGGGAACGGAATTTCTTACTAATAAAGTATCTTTTATCATCAAAATTATGGTAACGGTTTACAGACGTGTTATTTTCTCCAGCCCTCATAGATATGTAGTTAGGTGTAATTAAGTAATACTTACCTAAAATTGTAGATTATTGAAGTTCTATCTTAAATCATGAAAGCAAAACCCATGAACCATTTTATCTCAGTGTATTTGAACATTGCCTTTCTTGCTTTATGCTTTATTTTTTGCTTTTAAGTAGGGGTGGTACAAAAAAAGCTTGCTTGACATTTTATTAAAGGTTTTTTTTTTAAGCAGTGAAGAGAAATAAGATGTTATTTTGTATTTCAAAAACTATGTTAAGGTTCTGCGCATTTGTTAGTCTTCATGGAAATGTGAGTGATGTGTAATTAAGTCCTTTTTTTTTGATAATAAGGAGCTAGGACTTAGGATTGTAAATATACTAAAATACACTATTATGGTAATAAAAGTAAATTTTACTAAACAATATTACTCTTTTATGAGGTTAAGGAGCTGACAGGCTGCCCCAAATGAGTTTCTGTGGTGATGAGCTGAATGCCTTTGCCTAAACAGGGAACTGTGAACAGGTGTACATACTACCTCATCATCTGATTGGATAGAAGAATAAGAAATAGCCCTATAGAGCCTCATAAAGAAGTATTTCAATTTAAGTCATTTTGAATTTTAATTATATTTTAATTATTCAGAGAAATGCACCAGTGATCTCTTCCTCTTTGTACCTGTACCATGGCATGGTTCATTTATTTCTGCCCTCTCTAAAAAGAGATTTATTCTTCAGAACTCTGACATCTCTGTACATACCAGAGGCATAATCACCATACCTGCCTTTAGATGTCACACATACTGACTCTTACATCTCAGTAACTGTTCTGCATTTGGCTAGACCATCAATAGTCTAAATGGTCTAAAATATGAGACCTTTACTGGATGATGTAAATGTTCTAAAACTGAATTGTGATGGTTGTAGATCTCTGTATGTTTACAAAAATCATTGTATTACACTGAAAAATGGTTGTTTTGGGCATGTAAATACCAAAATAAAGATGTTTAAAAAGCAGTAAAATAACAAGTTTCATATTAAAACTACTTTTTATTACCGAAATGTCAAGTTCTAAGTATTATTAAATTCCCAGTTTCTTATTTTCATTATTGGCTAAAAGTTAAACCCAACGTGTACCTAATAAGATTTTTGTAAGAACTAAGATAACACGTGGGAAGCTGCTTTATAGAGCTTTTGTTGACAATAGATCATTTTAACCAGTACACTGGACGTTCCTAGAAAACAGAATTGTATCTACTTTTGCTCAACAGCTTTTCCCTAGCATCTTACCTAAGACTTGATACATAACAGGTTTTTATATGTATTTTTTTTAACATCTGAGAACTTTATTAGGCCATTTGAGATTCCTTGGAATGACAATGATTATACAGTTTTTAAAAAGTACTTCAATCAAATAGTTTGTTGTTGCTTTATCAGCTTTTACTTTTTAAATGTGGCATTTCTTCCATTGCTAATGTGCTTTTGGCAAATATGTACAAATGATTTTCTTTTTTTCAGTTTTAATTGAAGTATAGTGTATTTACAATGTTGTGTTAGTTTCTGGTGTACGGCAAAGTGATTCAGTTATACAAATATGTATTCTTTTTCATCATAGTTTATTCCAAGATTGAATATAGTTCCTTGTACTATACAGTAGGACCTTGTTATATACCTATTTTATGTATAGTAGTTTGTAGTCTGTATAATCCCTAACTCCTACTTTGTCACCTTCCTTTCTCCTTTGGTAACCGTAAATTTGCTTTCTGTGTCTGTGAGTCTGTTTGTATTGTAAATAAGTTCATTTTTATCATATTTTAGATTCCACATATAAGTGATACCATATGGTATTTGTCCTTGTCTAACTTAATTCACTTAGTGTGATAATCTCCAGGCCCATCCATATTGCCGCAAATGGCATTATTTTTATATAATATTTTTATATAATTTGTAATAAAAATAAAAGAATCCATGTATGAATGTACCAGTGTTCACTGCAGAGTTTTAAAATTTTTAATTGTGGTAAAATACATATAAAATTTACCATCTTAATTGTTTTTAAGTGCAGAATTCATTGTGCACATTAGTGTTAACTACATTGAGACTGTTGAACAACCAATCTCCAGAACTCTTTTCATCTTGCAAAACTGAAATTCTATACACATTAAACAACTACCCATCTCCCTCTCCCCAAGCCCCAAGAAACCACATCCTACTTTATGTCTCTACGGCTTTGACTACAAGTGGAATCATACATTATTTGTCTTTTGATGACTGGCTTATTTCATTTAGTATACTGTCTTCAATTCTGTACATGTTGTATTATGTGTCAGGATTTCCTTCCCTTTTAAGGCTGAATAATATCCCATTGTATATATATACTACATTTTATTTATCTGTTCATTTGTTGATGGACACTTGTGTTCCTTCCACCTTTTGGCTACTGTGCCATTATGAACACTGGTATACGAATGTCTTTTTAAGGTCTTGGTTTCAATTCTTTTAAGTATATGTCCTGAGGTGGAATTACTGGGTCATATGGTAATCCGATTCTGTTTCTATTTTTAAATTTTTAAGGAATTGCCGTACTATTTTCTATAGTGGCTGCGCCGTTTTACATTTTACCAACAGTGCACAAGGGTTCCAGTTTCTCCACATCTTTGCCAACGCTTGTTATTTTCTGCCTTTTTGATAGTAGTCATTCCAATGGGTGGAAGGTGCTGTCTCATTTTGATTTTGATTTGCTTTTTGGAGTATTTTTCCTACAAGACCTCCACAAGGAAAAAGGTCATGAAACCAGCTGAATGCTTTATTTTACAACGTGACTCCAAAAATGTACACTCCAATGGATATATGTTCATTAAGAATTAATACCGGAGAATTTAAACAAGAAGGCCCTATGTAAATCATACATTTCGATAAAAATATGAAAAATTTTACCAAAAGAGATCATGCCCGGTAATATATGGCAGACTGTACTTGTCTTCCAGGCGTCAATCTACATTTCTGTCATTAAAATAAAGCTTAAATGAGCTCTAGGCCACTCAGCTAATGGTTGCTTCCTGTTAGTTGGGAGATGAAAAGAAACAGAAACCCTTCATCACATCATCATGCTTACCCCACAAACGGACAGTCTCGGCTGAAGAAAGCAGTGCCATCTAGCATTTGAACATCACTCAACTACCTTTTGGCTTATTTATGAGAGAGAAGGGAAACGATACGATACATTCTCCCCAAGCCTCGGAAATCCTACAGTCTCTTTGAATAGGTTCTCCAATCAATTGAATTACAAGATGTAAGTCCTAATTAATTTATTAGCTGAAGTTCTTATTGCCTAACATTTGTGATCATAACATTAACCTTAGGTGCTTATTAGAATTCAATTTCCTAGACCCCCTTTCTTGGAGAATTTGATTCTTTAGGACAGAAAGAAGCCCAAGAATCTATTTCTGTTAAACACTGAGTAATGTATTACTTGTTTGCTTTTGAAAATACTGTTTTGATTATAATTATCAAAAGTATGCACATGTCTTAGCTCACTATCCAGTCAAAGAAAGGACATTTTAATAAAGATAACATCATTTCTAACATTTTAATGAGTGAAATATTTTTATCTTAAATTAGCTTTTATGTTATCAAACTTTCAGTTAAGACATTCATTTTTTAAACTATCATTGAATAATTGAACACAGAGAATCAAAATCCTGAAAATCACAGGAAGTTAGAAAAACTTTGAATGCTTTATAATCTAGCTTCTGTTCCATAGGATTTACCTGATCAGCTATGAATTTAAGGCTCTGATTGAGAAGACTCTAATTGCCTGTAGAAGGCGCCACAAAACGTGGTTACAAAAAAAGCCATATTGGTGTGCAGCTTCATCAATATTCAACATACACCAAAATGGTGAAAATCAATGTTGGCATTGTTTTCTCTATAAAGAAAGAAAGAGACAGAGAAAAAATTAAAGAGTTTTAAGGAAGAAATAAAGTACATTACATTTAAAGAAATATTACAAAGGACATTCATGGAAAAACTGGTCAACTCCAAACAATTCTGTTGGTTCATTAATAGTGACATACCAATGTTAATTTTTTAGTTTTGACAAGTGTTCCAGGGTTGTACATGGTGTTAACCTTAGAAGAAACTGGATAAAAGACACAAAAACTTGCTACTATCTTTGAAATTTTTCTGTAAATCTTAAATTATTCTGAAATAAAAATACTATTTTTAAAAAGGAGAATTTTAAACTCCCAGGATTCTATCATAGAGGAAACTACATTCATTGCCTTAAGTCTGACCATCCATTGCACAGACTGAACTCATTTCTATGATGCAAAAATGTAGATAACATGCATGCAGAATATAGTTGGGATTTTTCAGTGTCTAAACACAGAGACACTGGAAACCTTTTCAAAAAGGAGAATGTGAACGTGGAATAGCATGGAGAGGCTGTGCTCCACTTCCAGAAGCAGCTGGACTCTGCTTGTTCCTAGGGTCTGACACATGTCCTGTCCCCTTGTGGGGTCACTTGACTCTTCCTACATGCTCAGTCCTGTCTCAGTCTTAGGACCCACCCAGATCTGAGAGTGGAGAGATTGGAGATGGTCTCAGCAGTTCTCCAGAAACAGATGCCAATTTAAGGGATTAAATGTGCAAAGATTTTGTGAGATGAAACACATATGAGAGAGAATAAGGAGGGAGGTAGGAAGACTGGCTGAAGCTTTAAACTGCACATTCCTTCAGGATGAAAGAGACAGGAAATGAGATTAGATGGAGGTACTCCACAATGTCCTGCTGTCCAATGTAGATTTGGAGGCTGTCATGGATTTTGTGAGACAAAGCTGACCATTAGAGGAGTCCCTTTTTAGCATGAATGGCCTTGGTTTTAGTTTCCTTCAGCTAGAAGTCTGCATGGGTCAATTACACGGCCACCATAGAGAGCTGTGATTCTGCATCTGGGCTACAGAATTACATTGTGTTGGTTGCTAGCCTGCCATTAGTGACACATAATTAGGTGAAATTAATTGATGTACACATTTGTACAATATCAAACAAAGTTATAATGAGAGCTCAAATACAAAATTACTTTCAGAAACAAGAACTTCAGGAAAAGGAACAAGAGTGGCCTCTAATTTTTTACAGAGGTCTTAGTAATTTTCTATGTATGTTGAGCCTTGGTTATCAGCAACAAGGATTTTCCTATCACTTTGTGATGATTTCTTCATACCTTGGAGGACCAAATACTTATACTGTGTGCTTATTACATCTTTTCATGACAGAACAGACAGTCATTGTCATAAGTTTTTGCGTTGGTTGCACAGAGTGGAACATATTCGCTGGTGCAAGCTCCTGTATATAGTTTACAGTCTGGCTGTTAAACACAGAGAGACAATATAAACTTTCTCAGGGAATGAAAGTCTCAGTAAAATTTTGCTTAATCTTAATATGAAGGGCCAGACATCAAGATTAGAAAAATACAGTCTATAAGTAGTTTTAAACACTAACACTAAAATTTATAAAACAGAAATCCCACTTAAAAAATAAAATTTTACCAATGTTTTTATAAACCTGCTGTAATTTTTTAAAGAGATCACAGAACATGTTATTGTAATTTAGTGACCACCATCTTCACTTCCGTTTAGATTTTTCTCCTTCCAAACTCAAGAAGAAATCATGAAATGGAATTTTTCTATTTCTCATTCCCTGTCTTGATAATTTCACTAAGTCTGTGTGTGTGCATACATATATGCAGCTATCAGTGCAATTTGTTTAATGTTAACAGTACTGGTAATTGACATAAACAATACTTTGTGTACGTTTACCTCATCTGCTTTTGAAACTTCTTTGTGACTATGTTTATTCAGGAATTTAGAACTGTAGTTTAACTTTTCACCTTTATGTAATATTATACTATGTGGGTATATAGAAATTATTATATTATCCACCCTTACATGTAGATTTAGATTGATTCTGTTTTCTTTTGTTTTGCTGAGATGAACACTTCTACTGTAAACACCCTCCACTCTGTCTCAGATGCTTGTATGACACAACACTTATGCCCATTCATTAAATTTTTGTGTAATGGGATATGCACATTTTTATGTTGTCTAGATAATGACAAATGGCTTTACATGACTAAGTTTCTATTTTTTTGACTTTAATGTAATACTAACACTTTTTGTTTTTTGAAAGACCTCTCTGTTGTACATTTTTTATGAATTTTGCTATTAAAATGTATACTATAGAGGGGAAGGGTATAGCTCAGTGGTAGAGCACATGCTTAGCATGCATGAGGTCCTGGGTTCAATCCCCTGTACATCCATTAAAATAAATAAGTAAATAAATAATCCTAATTACCTCCCCCCTCAAAACAAAATATATAATATAGAAAAGTGGTTTAGCTTTTTCAGCGTCCATCAGGATTAACTTACCGGAAGTTTGAATTCTGATACAGATGCAAAAGAGGTTTCTGCAACCAACACATAGATGGAAAAGTTAAAAATGAAGGCAGAGAAGATGGGGGAGGGGCAGGGGGAGGAGAAGAAGAGGAAGAAGAAGAAAGAGAGGAGGAGGACACGGAAGGAGGAGGAGGGGAAGGGGAGAAAGGAGGGAGAAGAGGAGGAAAGGGGGTAGAAGAATCATCTTTAGGAAATACGGCTATTTCTTAGTAGCAGAAACCTATGCAAATTGCTTACTCAAGACCCCCCCCCCAGTAATGAGGCAAGCCCTTCATGTCATTAGCAAAACAAAACATTCACAAAACAATATCAAATTTGGAAATATTTTTAAATTCCCAATTATTCTAACTCTGTGAAAATGAATTGTATGTGTTTTTAAAACCCCTAACATCCTTCTTTGAAGATGTCACTGTTTTTCTTCCCATTTTTATAGATGAGACATCCTAGACAGATAAGACAATGCTTTAGAGCATATCACTTAAATATGAAGGAATCAATTAGTACTTGGTGAGTTAGAACTGTGATCTAAATGTGTGCGTCTGTCTTATAGCCCACAGATGCCTTATTCTGAAATTCATGGTCTACCTTGAGCTTCGAGAGAGATCACTTTGCCAGATGTGTCAATGTGTTCTCTCCTTAGACAAAACCTTGTCTTAGGGGACTCAGAATGGGTGATCAAAAAATCAGAATATGAAGCAATTCCAAACCTAGAAAAAAATCATTCCTCTTTGTAGTTTGCATTTAACAATCTGACCATCAAAAAGAAAAAATAATCAGGTAATATTCTTTAGTCATTGATGAACAAAGAGCAAAGTTCTAACCCACTACTCTATCTCCACTTGTCTAAAATGGGAAACGAGGAAAAGGCATCCTCTGATGCAATGTTAAAAAGGCATTTGTAACATGCCCTTTTTTCACTTAATCAGTTTATGGTCTACAAACCCAATAAAAAACAAGCTCCTTCATTCCTAGATTACAGAAGTTGTTTCCTGCGTTTTCTAAGATATGGGAAACATTTCATGCAGACTAGAAAACTGACTTACCAGAATAAAGAGGAAATGCCAAGGCAATGATGAAAATAACTTTGATCCATGATAAGAGGGACATTTTATCAAGTCTGTAGGAGAAACACACAGGAATGTTTATAACACACGGCACGAGGACAAACTGCTGATTTCCAAGTGTAAGTTCCTTACAGATAAATGAACTGCTCCACTCCCCTAGG